ATATATATAAATTTATAAAATGACTTTGAACCATTCTATAAATTTATTTAAACTTATATAAATTAAATTTAAAGTCAAATTACAAATGAAATATCATTTATTAACAATTCATTAAATAAATGTTTAAGTAAATTATTGACTACACCCTTAGGTTGTACTGGGAAAGAAAAATTAAAAAAATTAAAAATGCATAGAAATTTAATTGCATCAATTATTTTCCTTGGACTTTGAAAATACTGTGGATAAATTGGCAAGAAAAAACCAAAATAATAGAAGGTAATCACAGAATCAAACAAAAATTATGGGAAAATATAAGAAGAAACAACAAAATCAAGATACATTTGTAGATTGAGAGAAGAAACCCTAATTTAATAGAAATGAAATAGCCTGAATTGATAAGATACTTAGATGATTAGAGATTGATGAGAACGTGAGAAGAATGCGAGTATAGTCTATGTAGATAAACTAGAGAAACACCTTCAGAAAGATGAACCTGTCGAACCAAACAAATGAATTTAAAATTTGTTTACTTAATTAAAATCCTATTGAAATCCCCAAGTTTTTAAACGAAGACGTTTACATAGATTTTTGCATTTTTTTTTCACATTTCTTAATAAGATAAAAGAACCAAATAGTAAAGACGAATATGAATCTTTTCTGTAATCAATTATTAGGGGAAAAAAACCTCTCCTGTAAGTAAACTAAACTTTTGCATACTTTCATAAAAGCTTAATTACTCCAAATATTGAAATACATAATTTACTTTAAAAATTGAGGTGCACGATTTAACTTAAGCTTACGAAAATAAAATCTATTCATTTATAGCTTTTGTATTTTCGTTTCCTATAAATCGTATCTAAATAGATCCTCTAACAAAATAATAAGATAGACGCCCATGCTGAATTAGACAAAACAGATAAAAATGGCAAGAGGGGTGAGGAATCTTGAGTTACATTCTATTTTTACTGTCGGACCACATTTATCTGATGTAACCACAAATTCACGTATCAGTGAGAGAGATGTTCCAGCGGCCAATAGAATCCAAACCTCGGTCTTTCAAAATTACAAGCATACCACATGTTTTTAATTGTTGCGAAAACAATATATCATCCAAAAACATGGTACAGCCATGTTTAATTGATCTGAACAAGAATTCTGGAAATCTTCTATAGATGTTAATGTCTCTCCCTAATAGGAGATTACCCCGTGTAACAATCATTTTGTTCGCTTGATAATGTGGACTCCACTGTCAGTTTCCACTATGTTACTAATTTCACCAACTTGAAGAGCAAAAGTTGCTTCTTCAAAAGGCTTCTGCATCTGGCCACGACCAAAAGGACCTGCAGCCAAGAAATTTGTTCCAGTTTAATTGGCAAAACAAGTTAAGAAAAATTTATGACATGTTTTTCACATCAGATATAAATGCTATAACTGAATGTAAATCCCCAATATTTTATGACAAAGGGTGAGTTTGGTTAAGCGCCTAAAGGTCTCCGTTACATTCATGTCGAATTACACAAATAACACAGACGCAACTGTTAATTGCTTCCAGAGTGACATGCCCATAGCTTTGTAACGCTGATCCAAACACATGACAAGTATAAATGAATTTAACGTACACGAAGTTCGGGTTTCGGGGAACTGTATTCATGAAGACACTGTTACCTTCACAACCAGATAAAAGCATACTAGACAGTTACAAAATCGCATTGAAAGATCCGTTGCCTTGATAAACAAAGGCATTATAGCCATTTAAATCGCATTCTAGCAATATCAAAGAGGGTCAACAAATATATAACGTCACTAAATCAGATCAAAGGCTATATTTATGACACTAAGTGCGGGTTTGGAAACACGTCGTATAATGGATGACAGGCGTCCACCTTAAAGCACCATGTAGTTATTTCTGCGTCCTTGTCTCAAAGCGACGTGATTTATTTATTTACGTGAGCCTTCAAAAAGATTCCAAACACTATAACTTAGAACTTACAAAGTGCTTCTCAGTTCTCAAACAAGTAGCAGCCTTTTTCAGGTATTCCAATTTATATATTAAACACAATGACATAAAATATGTACTATTTAGATAAACTTTGTGACAGGGGAGTAACTAAAATATATAGTTTGGGGAGCAAAACATTTTTTAACGAGTTTCTTTACAGTTTTTTTGGCAAAAAAATAATAAAAACTTGAGGGTTAATTGAGAAACATCTTGGGTTAAAGCACTCCAAGGAGATAAAAATAAATTACCCCAACAAACCGGTGGAAGTCGCATCAACTTCATACTTAACTCAAAACAGATATCTAACGCACAGGATACGAATTTAGTAAATTAAGTGTAATATGGAGAAAAATCCTTATAAAGGACAAGAAAAAAAAAAATTGGATGTTCAACAACTAACAGAATGTCATCTAAAATTAAGTTTGATGAAAAAGAGGGAATTCTTATGGAACTACCAATATGGCTACAACAACTAACAGAATGTCATCGAAACTTAAGTTTGATGTTCTGATTAACACTACAACCTGCTAATAACATCCATAGAAATCCAGGTAGCATCAACGGATTTGGTTCCTCGAAATGAGCAAGCACGTAAACTGAGAAAGTAAAGGCCCATCTACAGTTGATTCGAATTCAAGTTCTTTGCAAACCTAACCAACTTCAAACCTGCTGAACGACCCTTCTTGTACCACTGTACCACA